CACCCGTCGGCTCCCCCGGCCCAGCCCCCCCCCTTGGGCTGCGGCCCACCCCCGTCTCGGGGGACCCCAGCCCAGCCCCCCTTGGGTTCCAGCCCAGCTCCCCCCGGTGCCCCCTCACCATGGCGCCGCCTCCCGGCCCCTGGGCCGCGCTCAACCTGGCCAGGTACGGAGCCGGGCCCGGCCTCCCCGCGCTACGCATGCGCCAGTGCGGGACAGGCGCTACTTCCGGGAGGGGCGGTGGAGGCGTTCCTATGGCAATGGGGGCAGGAGGAAGAGGGCGGGGCCGTTTCCGTGGCAACGGGGGCAAGAGTGAGTGGGGGGGGAGCCGCTCCCATAGCAAGGGTGGGCGGGTGCTGTGTCATGGGAACGGGGGAATGTATCCATGGCAACAGACCAAAAGGGAGGGGCGGGGGCAGGAAGGGTCGGGGCTCTGCAGTGAGGCAGGCGGAGTGACCGGGGCCCCAGGGGAGGGGCTGAATCTGGGGGGCTTGAGGGAGTGGATAGGGCTCGGTCAGGAGGGGAGGGCTGGGGGCCATGGAGGAGGAAGGGGACTGGGGGGAGGGAGCATGGCTGAGTGGAGGGGGAAACACAGAGCAGTGTGAGTTTAATAAAACCAGCCAGGCCCAGCAAAGGGGCCCATGGGGCACAGAGCCCATCCCCAGGGCCTTAGCACATCCCTGGCACCTAGCTCGGTCCAGGGAGGGATCATGGCCCCCCTGTGGGGCTGGTGGTGCAGGGCCTGGAAGAGGTGTGCTCCTCTCTTACAGCCAGTGCTCACTCCACTGCTATGGGGCATGGCTGGCCCCAGAGCCTGCTCATCAGATCTTGCTACAGCCTCCTTCCCACAGGCTGGGCCTAGGGCTCAGGATAGGGAACAGGCACAGCCACAAGGCAAGGACCACACCATGTTTCCATAGATATTTTATTAAAATATACATATGCACACCCACACACAAGCATGTTCCTTACAACTCACTGCTCCTGTTGGGCAATCCTGCTTCCATGCAGTAGGGATATAGGTCAGGCAAATCTATGGGGTCCCCCACATCCCTTGCCCAGCTTGTATAGGGAAAAGGCACACATTACTTTAAAGGCACTACTGCAATGGAGTCTGGGAGGTGGTAGTGGGCTATTTAGATTCCCACAGCACATACTGTTCCTTTAATGCCAAAGGGGAAAATGCTAGGGTTGAGAAGGAAAAAAGAAGGGGGTGGAAGGGAATGATATACCTCAGCTGCCAGTCCCTTGCCCAGCCACCATTGGATTATTTTTAGACATCCACTGATTTTTGGGGGGTGATGCGTACTGGCTGGTGAGAGCAACTAACCCCTGACCCTGATCTGCATGTGCAGCACTGCTGGGGACACGTGCCGATTGCTTCACCCAGCTTCCTGTACTGCCAGGGAGTGACGCAGGCAGAGAAGGCCCCCTGCAATAGGACTCTGTCTGGCTGCTAGAGAGCAGCTCTTGCAGGAAGTGGAGCATGCTCAGGGCTGGGTGGCTGACTGAGAGGCCCTCAGGGAGAGGTAACTGCATCTGTTTGTCCACACAAATCTTGGAGGAGGTGGTGATTAGTTTGTGCTTCCTATAGTGAACAAAGGTTATAGCAACATCTCTGGCCATACCTCAGCCATCCACCCTCTGGCCCACCATTCCTGCCCCTACCCCTCAAAAATGCAAACAAAGCTAGAAATATATTATATCCTCTACAATATATTACTCTTCCATACACTCATGCCCAGTCCAGGCCTCCCAGTACTCCTGAGAACAGGGTTCCTGATAACAAACCCCCCCCCCCCCCCCCCCACAAGAGGGGGGG